AAAAAAATATTTTTAAATCAGAAATGAACGAAATTTCCATTTTTCAATATTTATTTTTCAATTTATTGATATTTTGGTGTTTTTTCCATTTTTATGCCACGCGATTATAAATTATAGAGTAAAAACACAGTTATTTAATTATTTAATAAAAAATAATAATTTAATTATTTGCTAAATTTAACATAAATAATAATTTTTAATAATTCATAAAAATAAATTAATAATTAAAAATTTGTATTATATTTCTATTTAAAAAAGAATTAAATAAAATAATAACGATAAATTTAATAAAAAAAAGATAAATAGATAAATAAATTTGAATATTTCATGTATTATATAAATAATTATGTATTGTCTTAATGTATTATACATAAATGTTAAAAACTATTTTATTTTAATTATAAATCAATATTTATATGAGTAAAAATAAGAAGAATGTAAAACAAAGATAAATGTAGATCATCATGCTCATTTATGCGTGAAAATTATCCGCCATTGAAATAAGTTATTCCTGTTTAACCCAGTTCCAGTATATATCCGTATAAATTGCGTATATAACATGTATTATATATCAAGATGGACCAGTGATATAGTTAGAAAAAATTTATTCACGACAGAATATTTTTTTATCTATACAAAAGATAAAATATAAAAGATAAAACATAACCTAAAACAAGTAATTTTTGGATACATATGTATATAAATTTGTAGTGACAACATATGGAAATTGGTATTATTTATTTATTTATGAATTTATAGTTAATAAAGTGAAATTTTTTTATAATTTGTTAATATATGTTTATAGCAATATATTGTAATAAAATATTTAATGTTATATTATCTGTTTGTTTTATCATGCTAATTGATGTTAAAAAACCTTATTTTTTGTAAATAAAATTTTACGTGAAATAAAATAAAAAAAAAATAATGATATGGAATATAAAAAGAAAAGAAAAATTATTTAATTTGTTTAAAAGCATAACACGTTGTTTCATCTGATTTTTCAGAATATAGGTTATGAATTATATGTTCGTGCGACTCGTTATAATTTTTACATTTTTTTTTTCTTTTCTTTTTAAATATATAAATAATACAAGTGAAATAAGTGCACTTAATTTAATATTGTTTGTGTTATTTGTATTTTTCGTCGACACTCGACTTAGAAAAAAAATTTACAATGTTTATTATTATAAATTTCTGAAAACGTAATAATACTAATCCTTATACCTTCATTTTAAATATTTTTATTTTCAATTGGATTTTTAGATACTTATATTAAATTCCTATCTTCATTTGGAATCTTCAGATATTTTTACATTCTACGGATGTGAAAGAGTGGATGAATGTCTAAATATAAACTAATCAATATTTCATAAAATAATTTTAGGCATACAATATTATACTTGATTAACTTTGATCTTTAATTATTAATGGCTAACTATAGTTGAAAACGAAATATATAAATATAATTTTCGAATTGTATTGAAAGCCAATATGAATTCAATATTCAATAATATACGAGTTATAATTAGAGATATCGAAAATTTTATTACGCGTATATATAAAAAGCACAATACATATATAATGGAATTTTCAAGAGTGATTTATCGTACTATGATATTATTTCTCGATATTGTTAATTTAATTTTTCATTATTATTATTATTTTCGCTCAAATGCTCCAGTAATTTTTCGTTTCCACCAATAAAAAAATTTCTTCCACAAAAAAAAAATCTTCAATTTTAATGAGAATTTATTTAAAGATTTTCTACATATATACGATCTTCATTTATTCTCATATAACCTCTTATTCCTTGCAAGCAAATATACGTAGAATTTTTTTTAGAAACTTTTTAGGGAATTATTGAGTGCCGTAGTATATAATTTACTTGCTAGTGATATTCGTTTGGAAGGTTATCTTAAATACACGAAACAAGAAAATGTAGAAAATATAAAACGAGGAAATGTTTTAATATAGATTAACGTGTGAACGTGTAAAAATAACAATTGTTTTTTTTAAATATTGTGATTTGTTTTATTGTTTTAAACTTTATATTTAATTATAATATTTACGTGTGTAGTTATTATATTTATCACATATAAAAGAATTTTTTAACGAGGAAAATTATTTTAATTTAAATAAATGTGTAAATATATTCCAATTTTTCTTTTTAGATAGATGTTTGTTGCTTAGAATTTTATGCTTAATTACATTTATGTACAAGGTTATATTATGCTATACGAGTAGACTATGGATTTTTATGCAGCAGAAATATTCAACCAACAAATATCGTGTTATATTCAAAATATAATATCAAATGTAATATTCGCATAATGTTAATTATTTTATTGTAAATTTATCTACAATTTTCATTTCATTCTCCGAATGGTAATTTCATCATTTCAAAATTAATTTTCCTTATTCTCCTCACGAATTCTAGGTTATGTTCTAAAGAACTTAAGAGAATTTTCTCAAAACGAAAGGATCAACTCTCTTATCCTTTTCAACCTTTTTATATGCGAGAGCTACGATATTTTTCACGTTCAACTTTGCATTTCACGCAAAATGTATATCTTGAAAATGCGATTTGTTATATTTTGCTCAATAAAACTACATCTTTATTCAAATAATCTGGTTTCTTATTTTGTTTTTCGTTCTCTACGAAATTGCTGCAACGTCGATAACGTTCACTAGTAATATGATATATACTATATTTTCTTTTCTTTTTTTTTTTTTTTTTTTACAAAGTGCTTTTCGATATAAAATACCAAGTTCCATTTTTATGCGGACGACTGCAACTTTCTTTAATCTTGCATCCACATTGCGTATATAACGTGATATCGACTCGAGAAAAATGGCGATTTATGAGTAATTATACTTTACGAACGAGTCAGAGGGACGTTGTAATTATAGATACTCTTATCGGTATAGGTCATGACACGAGTTTTCTTTATGGAGGCTGTAATAAAATGTCGATAAGAGATTTTCAAGAAAAATGCATTAAAATGAAATTTTCATTGTAATTTTAGTAATATATAAAGTCAAAAATTATAAGTTGGACGTATTAAGGATTCTTGTATTTATTGTGATACGAAATAATATAATTAGAGGGCGTGGAAATTGTATTACAAAGCAGATTTGAAATAAAATATCTCAGTTTTCCGGGCTTGTTATTACTGTAAATCTTTGCTTATTAGTACATGATTAATTATACATTAGTTATTTTTGAGTCAGATTTTATTACTTTAATTAAATTTATTTTAATCAAAGTAGTGAAAAAAAAATTTAATTATGATAACGTGTGGAAACGTAATATACGTAATGTTTCGAAATTTAAAAAATGACGAGTTCTCAAAGTATTGAAATATAAAAATGTAGAATTAAAATTATTTTTTTTACAAATATGAAAATTTAATTTTTTGTAATTATTAAAAATACGACTATTATTGATCGATTAATAAATTTGAAGAATTTCTGAAATCAAAATTTTCATATTTTATTCATATTTTACATTTTTCTTTACAAAGTTTGAAAATAAAAAAATTTTTTTTTATAAATATCATGAAAATTAATCTCAGCGAACAAGACCGCTCTCATTTTCAATAATCATGCTACTCTGTTTTCTCTGAAACGTGAAGGTATTCATCTGTAAAGGTCATGTTTACTTTGAAGCTAGCCTATTTCACGTGTGCATAGTTGAGCGAATTCAACAGGAGAGTTCAATTTATCGTTGGGACAAGTACAAAATCCTGAGTGTCCCAATTTGTCACTGAATATGTTTAATGATATGTTTTATATATTATGGAAAACTTGTATATTTAAAATTTCTTCCTTTGATGGAAAATCGCTTAATTATAATACATATAAATGTGAAATATATTTGAGAAGATTTTTCTTCAACGAAACTTTATAATGAATGTTTACAACGTTTTCATAGCATTTGAAAAATATTCTAGTTGAATAATTAATTATTAATAAATTAATAAAATGTGAAAGATCTTAATTTTTTATGTTACTTTTAATTTAAATGAGAAATGTTCTAGAAGTTAATATTTAATTTCAAAATTATAATAATAAAAATTATTGATATTTTTATAAAATTTTCAATATATAAATTATATAAAATTTTGCGACAATTTCGCAAAATTTGTTTATTCACTGTTTTTTTTTTTTTTTATTTATGTTTTCTTAAGAATAAGACCGTTGGTACAAGATCTAGATATTGAAAATAATACTGTAAGATTTATGTCCTTATTCAGTGCTAATTGTATTTCATCTATATTTGTCTAATGGCTTTTCTCCAATGTTCGTGCAAGTCAAGATAGATTGTATTGCAAGATAGATTTCTATTCGTACGAATCTATTTGAGAATAAAATTCTCAAGAATCATTCTTGAAGATAGTTTTTACAAATAAACAATAAAATAATTGCGAACTTTCACTTTTGTTTAACACAATGAAAAATAATTTTCGAAAAAAACTAACTTTATAAGAATTTTACTTCCAAATAGAATTGTAGAAATATAGTAAATTGTAGAAATTTTCCTATATTTTAAAGATCATAGGACTATATTAAAAGAATTTTTATTGTTTTCGATCTTCTTTTTATAAAACATAACAAATTAACGAATTATTAATTCTCTCTCGTCGTTTATCATTTTCCATTTGACAATGGATTTGCATCATAATCTTCCAACTCGTATATCATACAAACACTGATAAGACTTAACCTAACTTTCGATCCAACTACACGTATGTTTACACATAACCTGTACAAAATTCAATAAAAGTTAATCCAAATTTTATCTTCGTGTATAAATTAATATAAAATTATTTAAAATTAGTAAAAATATTGAAAGCAAACTTATTGGGTAATTACAAACTTACTTTGGACTGATATTGTAGCATATATTTTTTATTTTTATTTTTAATCAAATATAAAAAGCTCAGTGGTTTATTTTCATTTGTATAAGTTAAAAGAATGAAGACCACGTTTTATCCCGATCTTTTCATTAATCCTCGATCCCTTCTTCACTGAATCCTCACTTTCTCTTTATATCCCATTCAATCCACCGCTATTAACGATTAACGACTGCATTCATTTGTTCGAACTCGTTGTTACACTGCTTCTCGCGCATCTGCAAGAGCAGTGTTGACATTGCTGACATTTTGAAGTGACTTGAAACGACCAAACGACGAAGAAATGGTATGAAATTATTTTATTATTTGTTTATATATATATATATACTATATATATTACTTTTTTATTTTGATTATTATTTTTTGACAATTATAAAAGAAAATAATGCCAAATTATTTTTATAAATTCATAAGTATTGAGGATTATATTCAGAAAATTATTTTGTTTATTAGATAGGTTAGATTTCTATGTATTATCTCTTATTTATTATTTGGGTAGAATAATAAATCATTTTTAAAAAGAAGATAGATTGTCTCCTGTTGTAGAGATATGAGAAAATGGCATTGAATCGTTTTTATGAATTCAATTACAGAATTGTCTGCTTTATATTGTATTGTATTTTTTTTTTCATCTTGAACATTGACTTGTTATTTAAAAAAAATTACAAATGGTTTTTTAACTTAACCAAGAAAGATTGGATATTTTCTCTACTATTATGAATTTACTAAATGATTTAATATTTTTTATAAATAGTTGACCTAGAATTTTAACTTCGTGCGTGCTATAACGTGTTATGCTGCGCCTAAAGCCGATATTTCTTTTATTCTTCTGCAACCTAGTTATCATTGTGCGACATTATGGTTAGCTGAAAACTGCCGATAATGGATTTTTGTAGGTTAAGTCTTCTTATATTGAGAACTCGACGAAATTCCACTGATATATATATATAATTCGAAAGATGAGATTTTTAGAATGTGTTTATGTTTCAATGAATTAAAATTCTAAATTAAATTTTTACGAAAAATTGAAACTTTGATTTAAGATTTAAGATGAAATACTTGGAAAAATTTATATAAAAAAAAAGGAAATCAAATTATAGTAATATTACATTTATACTAATTTATTATTTAATTTTTTGTTTCAGGTAAGTGAGGATCGATGAGGATTCGTCTTTTTTTATTAAGTAAGTGATTAAATATAGCGTATTATAAAGATTTATCAGAGAATTATGAATAATTTGATATATAAATCGTGGAAGATATAATCTCGATGAAAAAGTGCAATGTGAAGATAAAAGCAATTTACCCAAGCAGTGGGAATCCAAATGAATTACGTATATATAGGAAAATGTAAATGAATGATTGACTTGATAATCATTTATTCCAAAGTCTGTGTATCGAATGTAAACTTTAAAAATTTAATTTTCCTTGCTAAATGAAAAATAGCGGTCGATTGTTTCAAATTTAAATTTCTCATTTTTTTTCTCGTTTGGCAGTTTCCTTTAGAAAATTCTCTCTCTTTGAAATAAGATTTAATTAAAATATAAACGTTCAAATTTAATATTAAATTAGAAGACAAAATTTAAATAATTTTTTTAATTTAAAATTTATATCATAAAAATTACATTTGAAAACTGAATTTAAATCTCTTTTATATTTAATTATTATTATTTTCATTCATTATATCATGTTTTAATATTTTTAATCATTTCATGGTGAAATAAAAAATTCTAGAACTTTATGATGTATTGTTTTTATAAATGATACTAAGAAAGCAAATAAACTTGGAGGAAACAGATTTAATAAGTGCACTGGAAGTTATATCATCTGTTATAGCTTTCAGTTTATAAGGTTTTATTACACTGCTTTTTATTCGAGGTAAAATCGTACCACTATGTAACCTCATAATTTCGGTTTAACCTATCAGAATACTAAAGTTGTTTCATTACGTTGACATTTCTCCTACTGCCATCTTGCGGTCTCATTTTAACGATTTCAGTGATGTATAAAATAAATATAATTTTCTAGAGAAAATACTTTTGAAAGAAAATTCTCGAAATAATTTATTTATAATTAAATTAAGAATGAATTTAGCGAAATTTATTATGTTCATAATTTATTTAAATTTTTAATTTATTATAATAATGTAATAAATTTTCACGATTTAATAATTAATATTTGTCTTTGCAATTAATTCAATTTAAAATCAAAATCTCTCATCGATACATTGAATAAATTTTTTAAAATACTTTCAAAACGAATTATTGGTTAATTATAATTATTTACGATAAAATTAATTATAATTAGTATTATTTTAAGCGGAATCTGATTTAATATTTATTAGTAATGGCATCAATAATTCGGTATCTAATTTTGGTTTCCAAAATGACCGAACCAGATACTATGTTAGAGGATTGAATTATACAGAGAAATCAGCTATCACGGATAGAACGAAATTTCAGTTGGAACGAAGTTCATTGCAATGTCTGTCAACGTTGAGAGATTGCCTGTGTCAAATGGTGATAGTAATGTCGTGCACGGTTTGGGAATCGATAGAATCGAGTTACGGGACAAGCTGTCTTTTATTTTCACCCCTGCACACGAAAAATGTATGATAAAATGATAAATATCGAATATTCTGTTTTTGCAATATTGAGTAATATTATAAAATATTACAACAGGAGGAAAAATAGGTTAGGAAATTGTATTTGTGTAAAATGTTCAAATATAAATTTTTATTTTTTCAAGAAATTGCCCGATATTTTTTTTCTCCTTTTATTTTAATTTTTTGAATTTAACTTCTTTAGAATTATTTGATTATTATATATTGAGTTGTGATTTGTTAGATTTTATATTGAAAAAGATGATATTTCTTGAGAAGATATCTTTCAATGTTAAATACATGTGCTAAAAAAATCTGTATACAGTCAAGATGGATTCTCATTTGAAAAATTTAAAGTATATTTTAAATTCAGAGGAATTTATATATAGTATCCATTAACATTTTTGCATATTTTGTTATTCATAACTTATTTCATTCATTTATTAGTAGACGAAAGAAAATTCTTTAAAAAATAAAAATAGAATTAAAAATATATAGATAAATTATATTTAAGAATGCAATAGTTCACTGGTTATATTCGATCAATTATGATTCAGCCGTAACAGGTGTTACATACATAGTCGATTGCTCTTAGACGAATGCACGTGTTCTCATACAACGCTTTTCTCTATTACAAAGAAGCACACGACCCAGAAAAACTTTTGTTAAAAAAAGCGTGGAAGAGTATCGATCGTGGTTGCAGAAGAGGCTAATTAACGGTTTTCGTTTTTCAAAGATGACACGTTGAAGAAACTTGTGGTTTTTCATTCATCAATCATTTTTCTTTAGAACAATGTACAAGTGTTTATATACGTATATATCTTTGCATGTCTGGTATTGTTCTTGAATAGCAACGACTGCTTTTATTTCACGATACAGAAGGAAAAATACGATAGAATTCTTCCTTTCTCTCTTCTTTTTTTTTTTTTTATTAACCAAAGTAATTTATCAACCGTTGGAAACAAGAACTTCTTTCTTGTTTATTTCTTCGAGACTTTTAGTATTTTGCAAGAAGAATGTTGTTTTATCGCTGTAGGTAAAGTAGATATCTGAAAGCTCTTAAAGATGATCCTCCAACATTCTAGCTTACCAGTAACTTTCGAGCTCGTTGAAAGTCAACTTCCGGCCGCTTGGCGCACTAAATCTTTCTTAGAAAATAAATGGCCAATAAGTACTTATTAAAAAGAATTCGTTGACATTTTTAATATTTATAATATTTAAAATTTAATAATCACATAAAATAAATAAAATAGTATTTCCTAAGATTTTTTTCAATTTCAAAGTTTAAAAAAAAAAAAAAAAAAAAAAAGAAAAAAAAAACAAAAAATCTATAAACATATAAACGAAATGAAAAAGATATCGTAGAAAAAAATAGAAAGTAAAGTCAAATATATTTTCAATATTAAACTTTTCATTTTAATCTACATTTAATCCTCTCTGTTTGAAAAATAGTTGGAGAATGATAATAAATGACAAATCAGTAATCAGGTTATTTTTAGATACAATATATCCTTAGTAAGATTGTTATTAGTGGTTGTGTGGCACCTCTCTTATATGTCATGATGATGGTTCTTCACTCTATATCTAGTTCCAACTTTCTTATCCCTCCATTCCAACGAAGCAGAGCTCTCAATGTAGTAGAAACCCTACTTATCTTGGAGAGAGATTATGAAAATCTTGAATGTTCACTTCACTAAGATCCTTAGTAATAAGGATGAAGTACGATGACATTGGTCTTCTCACAATCTCATTTCGTTGAAAGCTAAAACATGTAGAGATTAAGAGTTATTTTTGGCAATTTTTTCCCCCTATTAAACAAACGTAATTAACTTTCGTTTTATTTATATAAATAGATTGAAACTAATTATTTATCGTATCTCGTTTGTCGTTTATTTTTATTTTTGTATTGATTCTGTTTTAAATTAAACGAAATATTTTTATTGTTTAATTATACGTCATTGATATATAATATATATATATGTTCGATATATGATCGAGAGAAAGTATGACGAAATTTTTTTTCATTTTGAATTTTAATTTTTCAAAACGAAACCTCAATATAAATGTAAATTTTTTTTGGATGAAACATTCTATTGGAAATTCATAAATCATAAATTGTATGATTCAATTATATATCGTGGAAATTACGAAAAAATTTAAATAAAAATTATTAAGAAAAATTTGATATCAATTATACGAATAAAATTTATTTTATCCGCGATTAAGATAGATAATAAAGAATTATATCGAAATGATTAATCGAACAATGTTAATTTCGTTTACATTAATTACTGATGGAAGAAAAAAAAATGTAAATATAGAAAAATTACAGATTTTTATTCCTTTTTAATTTTTTTTATTATTTTTTACAACTAGTTACAATTCGTACATTTAACATTTCTCATGGTTAAGTGAATTTTCCAAGTAATATCGCATCTCGTTTTCATCAAAAGTGACTTTGCTTCTAATTTATCTTCATCTTGGAAACGTTGGAAAGTTGGCAGAGTAATAACATGTTTAGGAAGTAAAATGAATTTTTTTTAAATTTTCTCTTTCTTTTCAAGAAAGGCAGAAATAATATACAGGGTGTTTTAAAAATATGGATTAACCGAAGACTTCTAATTTCAAGCAATATTTTTCTTTGCAAAAACTTTCGTCTCATCTTTGTTGACAAGAAACATTGATCAATCACAAATAAATCATTTTATATACTATATCGTATTTATGAAATTTTTTTCCTCTTTTTGTATTTCTTTTTTTATTGACAATATTGGAAATTGATATTTCAATTACATAAGGAGAAACAGACCAAAGTGTCAAACGAGAGTGTTGGAATTTATTAATTTCAATGGAAATTGAGAAGAATGGAGACTATTAATTTCAATTCTTTGTCCATTCGAAACAAATTCTGTCTGTCAATTTACTTTATTGTGGATGGCAGACATATTAGTCTGTCGTAACTTTTGATTTACAAATCGATATTTTGAATTTACATTTTCTTTTTAAACAATAAATAAATTCAATCTTGTAAATTATTTGATTATTTTAATACACATTTTAATGCTGACGAATTTAATTAACCTAACCTAATTTACTTTAATTGTGATAAATTAAAATTAAATTTTTGATTATGTTAATATTTTTTTTTAATTCATTTTTCTGATTTTAAAAAGATTCTGATTTTTACAAGTGATTTCACATCTAATCTAGTATAATAAAAAAGAATTGGTTGTCTGGCTGTCACACTGAAAAATACTCGTGCCATTTCCTTTCGAGTTGAATAGCAGAACATGTTTTTCAAAGACTTCCAGAATACATCCATAATACAAATGGTACAAATGATTGGATCCAAATATCAGTGTAGAAGAGATTTCTCAAGAGGAAGATGGAAAACAATTTAAAGAATTTTTCTAAACTAAGTTCGATTTATTTTTGTTAACACATCATGTGTAGATTCGTTAAAAAAATTGTACTAGAAATTTGAAAATTTTGCAAAATATATTTACATTCATAAAAGCGTGGAAATCAAAAATAAGGTAATTTAAAATAAAATTTAATTCATTTTCATCGACACTTAACGGAATATAATTAACACACGACGTATTACAAAATTTGTATACAATCGAACATGAAATTTTCATTAATTTCGTTTGTTACACGTATTGCAAATTTGTTCAACATCATTACATTCATATTATACTTATACTCGTACAAATTTTGCAAAATTCATATTGTAAAAATTTCACAATATTCGCAATAAAACTTTTAATTTCCAATTTTCATTATATTTCAAAGTTGAATTACTAAAAAATTAATTAATTTTTTCAAACAAAGTGAATAACGTTATTTAAAATAAAGTTCGAATAATACTATATTTAATAAATCTTTTTCTAACCTGCTTTAATTAATCAATCGATTAATTAATTAAAAAAATAAATTGAATAACATGCACTATCGATCAAAATTATTCATGTATTGTTACTCACTTTAACTTCTTAATTTTAACCGTTCAATTTTCTGAATTTGCCACAAGAAATCGCGATAAGAAAACTTTTCCATCCTGATAAAGTAATCTTTTTGAATAGCGATTGGAAACTCTGTCTGTCAAACAAAAATGTATTTTGAATCACTGACACAGTTGTTCTAAGCCTTGCCGGATATGACTAGGGAAATGAGAGACAGGATTCATGTTGCTCTTTGTGCCAAGATGAAATGGAAGATGGCTCTTCAGTTCTTCCTTTTAGATCGCTTTACGCGCCATCTGGATCAGTTCTCATGGATATAGCAACGAAGAAACGATATTGGAAAAGTTTTATTTCCTGTTTTCGAAATTATTTATGTAGAAGTATTGGAAATGTTTTTATGGCTCGTTAGTGATGAAAGAAGAAGATTAAACGAAGGATTTTGGAAGAAAGTTTGATTTCTTTTGTGATTTCAGTTGGAATTTTTATATTTATATTTACAGAAATAACTCTATTTTATTAATTTTAATTCAGCCAATGTATATTACTAATTTTATTAATCAAGTTATTATTGAATTATTTTATCAAAAATGACAAAAGTTTTTTATATTATAATTGCATTTTCAACTATAAAAATAAAAGAAGTAAAATTCATTAAAATATATTTGGCAATTTTAATATTAATCAAGTTATAAAAGAGATAAAATTTTTTTTTTGATTCAAGTCTATTTTCAGTTTCAAATTTTTACTATTTCATTTCGTGACAAAAATTTTATATATATAAAAATGTGAATAACAAATACGAATATAATAAAATTTGTTTTACCTATACTTAACCTCTTCAAATTACTGACATTTATTTATTTATTTTTATCCAAATTTTAAAAATTAAAATCTCTCGTCAATAAAAATACAATGAAAGTATATAACATTTCATATTTATTCGACAATCACTGAAAAAACTTTCAAAATAAATAAAACACAAAAAGTATCATAACTTTTCATTATCATTGTCTTGATGTCTTAAAATGTCCCT